CTATCTGAGGATGTCCCACTCTTAGGACTTTTTGAGAACTACAGATGGGAAGGTATAGAGTTGGGTTGGTCAAGCCCCTCTTGAGGGTTCTTCTACAAGTAACTCTCCCAACTTCATTCTTTATCCTTCTGAACATTTCTATTGAAGAATAAAAAGAGTATACATTTTTCATTGTAGGGTATTTTATTATTCTTGAAATGCTTAAGTTCAGTTCTGCCATCTCCCTTTGTGTGGCCTCCTCTCATTCCTCTGTCTGGAACCATAGAGAGGAATTCTATCACTTTTTCAATTTAGCGTACTGAAGAATTGTTTACCACTTTAGAGGTAGTGGGAGTTTATAAAGGAGGCCGACTAAAGTGTCATGTAATTGCAAGACAATTTATACTCTTATGGTTAAGAGGAGTCATGTGAGTAAAATGTACCATCACAAGGGCAAGCCGCATGTGGCAGAGAAGCTGTATTTGGCAAAAATGTGATTTTCCATGGAGGCATATAAACAAATAATGATAGCCAGCTGTAACATATAAACAAATAACAATAGCCAGCTGTAACATATAAACAAATAGAGATAGCCAGCTGTAATGAATAATGAAGTAAACGCACTCCTATCTGCTACACCTAGGAGGGGCATGAATACACTCCAAGAACAATTCCATGTTTTGAAGAAAATGAGGTCACAAGACTCTTCGTCTTGGTTTCTCAGAGTTTTCTCACAAGAACTCAGAATTCTTAGGCATTCTTGACAAAGAACCTAGGGTGATGGTTGCATTTTAGCTTGTTTTATGGTTTCTTCTTTTCTGAGAGGAGCATCGTGAATGTGCTCACTCTCCTCCATAGAAGCACTTACTGTGTTGTGTTCTGTGACTGTCTTCTTCCCTCTGGGAGCTATAGGTTAGAGGTTCAAAGCAAGACAGTGAGTTTATAAGTAAGATTATAAATCAACATATTACTTCCTTTATTAAGAAAACCCTTCAATAAAAATGGAGGTAAAATAATTAAGCAGTATGTTTAGGAACATAGTCATTTTACATTGTAGTACCAGCTCCTTTTATCTCACTGCAGACTGATAATAAAGAGTTGAGGCAAACAATTGAGCACTTCATACAATTCCAGACACGGTTTCTGAACTGTGGGAACATGGGCAATAGTAAAAGGTTTTTGAATGTGCAAGAACCAAAAATGAATTCAAAATCAACTGTGTAAGAACTCTGAGCTGCTTCTGGTCACACTTGGCTGTGTTATATTGAGCCACTTCATTGCAGCCTTGGTTCTGAACACACAATATGTACACTTTGCTTTGTAAATGCTATCATGACAGAATGCCAGTGAACTCTGCCTGAAACACCTCAGCTCAGATTTCAGACTGTGGCAAATTATAAATTGCCATGTTTTCACTGTGATCACAAAGCTTTTTGTGAGTTTAATGTGAGTTCCAGGACAGCCAGAGCTACATAGTGAGACTCTGTCTCAAACACACACCCTAAACAAAACAAATATATATGAGTTCTAAAAACTAAAATATGTTTTATATTCTGAAGTATTAAACATTCAGCCAAGATTTCATTCATTATGTAAAAATAAAGAAGTACATCTACCTCGGTATGCAAAAATGTTTTCCTTTTTAAACAAAATGCTAAAACTATATGTATACTGAAGATTTCTTTTAGAATAAATTGTTATTTATGTCAGTAAATATTTGATCTGTGTGCCAATTTTATACCTATATACCCAAGTTCATGTGAAATTTTCTCAGGCAATAAGGAGTCATGGTTCTGAACACACAATATGTACACTTTGCTTTGTGAGAGGAGCCCGCTCTGGACTAGGCTTTGAATGCAAGCCACTTTACCAAGAGAAGTCTTCTGAAACATGTAGTGGGAACACTACACCATTACATATGAACACTGCTTTTCTTCATTCTTAGTGAATTTTTAATCATGTTCAGCACCTATTATTATACATTCTTTTCCTTTCAAATTCTTCTTGGTGCTTGGAATCCATCATTCTAAAGTGGTAACCTACTTGCTGTTATATCCAATTTTGTGTCAATTTCAAATATGGCCCAACCAGCTATTGATACTAAAATATCCCACAGCTCAGCTGCGTAAGCAACACATTTTACAAAGAGTTTTTGAGAGTCTACAGTTCAGCTGGTTGTGGTGGCTTTGACCCGTATTACCTTCTCTTATCGGGGAGGCTCAAAGATCTGCCACCAGCTTGTGGTTGGCTGGAAGCTGATCCATCTAGATTGGCTTCACTCAGAGTCACTCATCTCCATCCAAGGGCTCATCTGATCCAGCAGGCTAGCTGGAGCCTGTTCCTGTGGCTATGACAAGAGTTCCAGAGAGCAAGGAGGTACATAAGGTCTGTGTAAGGATCAGCCCTAGCCCTGACACCAGGTAGGGCAGAATAAGATGGAAAGCAAATCAAGAGAATGAAGAGGATTATCACAGTGCCAGTGTGTGCTTCCAGGCTCTTGATAAAAATTGTGAGGGAGGTACTGCCGAATACCTCAGACAACGGACTCCAATAGGCTTCTGTGGATATTGTTGTAGGCACAGTTACCAGCAGTTTGGGGATGTACTATTTAAGCAGCTACAACTCGTTCAATAGGTACTTTCATCCAACCCCCACTTACTCATGTTGTTACCAAAGGTCCTGTGGAACATTTCCGCAAGTTTGATGCTGCAAAATGTGTCCATGGTTTTCTGAATACAGGTAACCATCATTGCGTGACCTATTAATCCAAAATATTGGAAACAATGCAGGAATAATAGTAATTCATCTGATGAGTTCTTTGATCAAATCTTTAAGTTTCAAGTAATTGATGAAATAGGAAAGGATCACAGTTTGAAATCCTAGAGAGAAACATAATATATATGTTACTTGTTATCTTAGGATGGTAGGAAAAACTTTTTTTATTTTGATATTAAATATTTTGGTATTAAATAATATTAAATATTATTCAAAATGTCTACAGTGGACTTATAAATGTCTTTATCAGAAAAATATATAAATAACTTTTTTTCCATTTTGTAATTTTCTGGGAATTAAAATGCAGTTCAAATATCTCGTGCTTTAAAAACTGTGGTTTCTAGCCGGGTGGTGGTGGTGGTGGTGGTGGTGGTGGTGGTGGTGGTGGTGGTGGTGGTACACGCCTTTAATCCCAGCACTCGGGAGGCAGAGGCAGGCGGATCTCTGTGAGTTCGAGGCCAGCCTGGGCTACAAAGTGAGTTCCAGGAAAGGCGCAAAGCTACACAGAGAAACCCTGTCTAAGAAAAAAAAAAAACAAAAACAAAAACAAAAAAAACAACTGTGGTTTCTGTTTATTGCCAGTCTGATATTGTCTGAGATATCATAGTACTTAAATATGATTGGCTTAAGAGTATAATATTGGCTTAATATTGGCTTAAGAGGTTAATAGCTGATTTTAATAACTATTCCTCAAATGAAAGTATTTGAGGAAGTCCCCTGCAGCTGTAATCAGTGTGTGTCTCCTTTTCCTATACAAAGAAGAAACAGGATTTAATGGCTGTCTTCAGAGACTGAGGGAAGTCTGGTCAGTGGCTACATTAGTACTGATAAAGGATGACGTCTGTATCACAGCTTGGGATGTAAGGAAGATACATCTCAAATGCTAGTTCCTCTGCAGTTAGGGAACAAACATCCATGGTAGCTGCTACATCTATGTTAGCACTGACCTTTTTATAGGCTAGAAAATTTTACCTATGTCAAGAACTGTATGTCACACCGTGACATTTAAGCCATTTGGAATGCCCACATGGGCAGTTGGGATGCTAACCACAGAACAGATAGGCTTTAAAAATAATGTTATATTAAATTTATTATATTAAGGAGCTACCTGCAAGGGACATAGCACATGAATGTGAATAAATCATCTATCCATAGCATCCACAAGAGAGCTGTCACAGAGTGAAGAATGTCACAGACTCTTTGACTCACCCACAAGGGGCTTCTGAATCTGAATGGGTTCTGTCATTTCTTCAGCAAAAGAATGCAAAAGAACTGAGGAGCCTGTCTCAGGATTCCAGCCTCCAGGGATTGGCAGCATCTACCTTCTGTCTTTTGCATGCTTGGCAGTCAGCTGCCAGAGATCCCAAGCTACAGAGCGCACACACTGTGCTCCAGTGGCAGCCCTCCCTGAGGTCCTAATCCACCCGAAGTATCAGCTGCAGCAGTGGGTGAGCCACTTCAGACCCACACTAGTTGTAACTTCAGTCAGAATTTACTTGACCCTGGTTACAAAACTATCTAAGTCTGATGTATCCAACTGGACTCAGTCAACACACACAACATGAGACATAATAATAAAGTGTATGTTAATGCAACGTTCGGAGCTCAAAAATGCTCATAAAAAATAACCACAATGTTATCAAGTGTTAGCCAGTACTGCCATGTTTGAAACAAAATCTAAAAGTAGTTCTAGATGACAGACAATGGCATATTATCTCTATAGCTCTCCTTTCAACCAGAATGGAGTGAAAATGAGGACGGTTACTATAGCTTACATCTTTCACATCCTGTATAGACATGGGAATCAAAGGAAACAAGAAAACAGCAAAAGGTGACATGTCTGCACAGAGCTGGTGAGATGCCATGGCAATACTGGTTACCACGCACCGGAGAGTATGGATTATGGCTATCACAGCTTTCCTTCCCCTTCCTTCTCCTTCTTCCCTATTCCCAAGTTGCTGTCACTCCACTCTGAAACAGCAGAAGCCTGTTTCATCCCTATGACTCCATGTTAGACAAAATGATGCTGTGCTAACAGATGCTCGCATGGAGAGGTCAGGTAAATCTGTGAAGAGCGAGAACAGCTCTAGGCAATTGCTCCTCAAGAGTCTGATGCCCTTCCTTAACTGTCTTTTGGCCTTCTACCTGATGACCAGAGTGAATAATCAGAGCGAAGTTAGTCTCTTACAGGACAAAGTATAAATACTGGACAAAATTTCAATGTTTCACAACTGTTCCATTCGCAGGTATTCCCAGGTTGATTACGGCTGACATGGTTAGAGAAGGCGCAGCAGTGATTGATGTGGGCATCAACTATGTTCAAGATCCTCTGACAGGAAAGACTAAGCTAGTTGGAGATGTGGACTTTGAAGGTAAGAACCCAAACCTCTAGATAAGTTCAAGGGGAACCTCGATTCCAATCTTCATGCTTTGAGAAAGAAGCTTTCCTTGTGATGGGGACTGTATTAATAGTCATCACTGGTCCCTCTGATGGAAGACAACCACATTTTCATAATTCTTCCTCCTTTTTCCCACCCCATTCTCTTCCTTTTCATGCTCTCCTGTGTATCAACTTTTCTGTGTATCTATTCTCTGAGATTGAACCTAGGGCATTGAATATGCTGTATCCTAGGCTCTGGTTTTGTTTGTTTTTGTTTATGTTGTTGTTTTGTTTTTTTACTTATAGAAAAAAAGATATAAGTTCACTAGGTTTCCCAGGATGCTGTTGAAATTGAGATCCTTCTCCTTCCTCCCAGGTAGCTGAGATTATGGGCCCCTGCTGCCAGGCTTGGCAATATTTGGTATTAAGATCAAATTTCTTACTATATAGTTTTTAATGAAACAATCTGACCAATTTTAGACCTCTGTGTTATTTTGTTCTGAATTGATTTCTATTACATGTATTGATTTGGAGATGGGAGGCACTCACGTGCTGCCACATTCATGTGGAGGTCAGAGGACTTGTGGGAGTCACTTCTCTTCTTCCGCCATTCGGATCACTGGGATCAGCGTCGGGTCACCAGTCTTGGTGACAAGTATCTTTCTGCATTTAGCCCACTTGTCAGCCCTATTGTGGTTTTTAGGACTGGCATTATACGCTATAGACATTTATGCTTTATATTTAGCCATTTACTCTTTTTAAACTGTTTTTGAGAATTTCATATAAGTACTGTTTTTACACAGTTTCCACCCCTCTCTCCCCCTCTACCTCTTCCTGTGTTTGTTTCTCCTCTCCCTTTCAAGTTTCTGATCTCTCCTCCTATAGTAATTATTGTTCCACATGCATGTGCATACACATATGTATATATACAACGCACTGAGCCCATTTAGTGATGCACCTTATGCATAGATGTTTAGGGCCAACCACTTGGGATTGGATAATCTGTCAGGATGATGGTCCTTGTAGAAGGCTGATTCTCCCTTTCTGAGCAGCCACTTACTGCCTGTAGCTCTTCTTCTAGGGGGGTGGCTTTATGAAATTTCCCCTATCCAAGTTGACATGTTGACTGGTATCATTATACAGATCCTGTTTAGACAATCATGTTGTAGAGATTTCATGAGTACAAAACACTGTCTAACATCAGGGATCCCAGTCCTCTGTCCCTTAAAAATCTTTCCACTCCTTTTCCAAGATGTTCCCTGAGCCTTAGGTATAGGTGTTGTATTGTCGGTGTACCAGCTGGGCTGACCCCAGGGTTACAGATTCTCTGCATTTTGACCACATGTACTACAGCGGTAGTGTCCTCTATCAGATGCAGACAGAAATTTCTTTGAGGAGGGATGAGAGTTACACTTTTCTGTGGGTATGAAGATAAGTGTTTGGAATAAAATTAGAAATTATATTGCTTTAGGAAAATGGCAGTAGGGTCTATGACCTCTTAGCTACATATAGTTGGCTAGATTTATAGTACTAGACACGAACTCCATCCTAGTGAGTGGACCCTAAGTCCACACAGCTGTTGGTTGTCCCCAAGGTATGAGTACCCCTAACCTTCGGATACTAGAAGAGTTAGTCTTCAAGGAGTAGGCTTCCAAGGCTGATTCCTTTAAGTCCTGTGTCTGAGGTGTGTGGTGTCTTAACCAACAGGGTCCTACCTTCCAGTTCTAGGAGGCAGCCAAGGGCAATGGCAATAGCCCATGTGTTTTTGGAGTCTCTAGGTCTTCCATGACCAAAAATTCAAAAGGAAGCTTCCCATGCTTGGCAGTGGAGCTTTGTTAGATAGTCTAAGTCTTTCTTGGGGAACACTGTGCTGTAACTCCATTTAAACTATAAGTACAAATGCACACACATGTATAATATATGTATTTTATGTAATCTTATAAAATAATGTTTCCCTATGGTCCCTTTCAAACATCGTTAGTGTTATTTATCTCCCCCTCTGTATTACCTTTCCTCCCCTCTACCCAACTTGAGTACCCCTCCCATTTTCCTTTTCCTCTTCATAGTACTTGTATCGTATTTCACTCTGACAGTGAGAGTCATCTCAGAGTGTGTTTGCTAACTCAAACTCAATTTTAGATATAGATAGTTGTCTGGATAATTGAAACTGATGCTCTTAGTTTTTGTTTACAAGAGGATGAAGAAGAGGAGCTAGGCTAAATTGCATGGTCAATGAAGGATTTAACACACCCAGCTTGTAGTACTAACAAAACAGTTCCAAATCCATGGCTTCTCTCTATATAAGGCAGCTGAGCCCCTAGACACATAAGTTTCTAGTGACCTGACCCCAAACAGTTTCACTTCCAATTCTTCATCAGATTCTTACCAACTTTGATATTTCCAGATTAGTGGTAGTCTTGGGTGCATGAACACCCTAAAGTAAGTGGAGACATTCTCATATATGAAATATTTTAGAAATGATGCTGATCATTCTAGGTTGCCAAGACAGCTCAGCAGGTAAAGGCACTTGTTGCTAAGCCTGTTGACCTAAGTTCATCCCATAGGATCCACATAGTGGAAAGAGAGAACTGACTCCCACAGTCTGTCCTTTGACTTCCTCACGTGTGCATGCCACACATGTATATGTGAATACACACAAATGTAACAAAACATTGAAAATAAATGATTACTCTTTCTGACCAACACAACAGGACTCCTTGAAGCACTTCATGGTTACAGATGTATCATTAAAAACTAAAGGAATAAACAATGTGACTTTAAAATGTGGGTTTTATTTTTTTATGTGTATGAGTGTTTTGCCTACATATATGTCTATGTATCACATGAATGCCTCGTGTCTAAGGAAGCTAGAAGAGGGAGTTAGACTCACTGGAACTAGAGTTACAGATAGTTGTGAATTACCTGGTGGGTGCTGGGAATTGAACCTGGGTCCTCTGAAACAATAGCCGGACTCTTAATCACTGAGCCAGATGTCTAGCTCTTAAAATTTATATTTTAAATTTCACTGGGAACTTGATTACCAGTTGATCGTTTATCCAGAAACGCAGACATTTGCAAGTGTCCTAGGGCATGGTACCCACCTGTGAAAGAGTCTGGAGTGAAACCAGATCTAGGCTCTGATTAAGCAATTTACGTCTGCTGGTTAAGGAAAGAAAAGCAGCCACACATGTGCAGTGATGTGTCCTAAGGGGCAGAACACCGAGCAAGAACAAGCACAGGTGTACCTTGTGGAAGAGTACACGCCTGTCCTCATGGGCTCTGATTGCTATGGACCCCAGTATGGTTTCAGTTCTAGTCTGGCAGCACTGATTCTCCACATAAACGTGTCTGCATCTTTACATATGTGTGGAGATGTGTACATATGTGCTGGGTGTACATGTTGAAATGCTCATGAAAGGACATGTAGAACACCCAAAGCCCACAAACTAACCCTCAGTATCAACAGAGGGAGTAGAGGAAAATAAGTTTCTGTACAACAAAGAAAAGTCAGCAGAGTTATCATTCAGGACTCAGAATGGGAGAGAATCTTTGCTGGCTGCACTTCAGACAAAGGACTAATATTGAGAATTTACAAAGTATTGCCAATTAACAAATAGGTAAGTTGTAGCACAAATCCTTGCCAGTTCCTCAGCTGATCCTGTTTCCTCAGACTGGAAGCTTCTGAGTCCTCATCCAAATAGATCTCAGCTGAACTGCTGCTCAAAACCCTGAAAGCTTAACCGGCCCTAGTTCCTGGTCTTCATGCCTTATATACCTCTCTGTTTCCTGCCCTCACTTCCTGGGATTAAGGGCTTTTGTCACCATGCCTAGCTGTTTTCAGTGTGGCTTTGAACTCACAGAGATCCAGGCAGCTCTCTGCCTCTGGAATGCTAGGATTAAAGGTGTGAGTGCCACCATTTTCTGGCCTCTGTATCTAGTGGCTGTTCTGTTCTCTGACCCCAGATAAGTTTATTAGGGTGCACAATATTTTGGGGGAACACAGTATCACCACAGTAAGTGAACTAAATAAAAAAGAAATACAAACGGCCGATAACCGTTTTAAAGTGTTCAGTATCCTTCACCATCAAGGAAATGCATATGAAAACTGCCGTGAGCTACCGTCTCACCCCAGTCAGAATGGCCACCATCAGCAAAACTGACCATGAATGCTGGAGAAGATGTGGGGAGAAACGCTTATCCAGTGTGGTTGGATGGGCAGAAAATGCAGCCACAGTGGAATTCAGACTAGAGATTTCTCAAAACTGGAGCTGCTGTGTGACCCTGATGTTTCACTCTGGGCAGAGCTGAGCCCGAGAACCACGTACCCTGCCGCGAAGATCTTCGCACTCCCACCTTTGCTGATGCTTCGCTTGCTTTAGCAAAGGATTGAACCAACCCTGCTGTCCATCAGCCGACGAATGGATAATTAAATGTTGGTGTATACGAGGGAAAGCTACTCAGTTCTGAAGAAAAATGAAGTTAAAAAATTGCAGGAAAATGGATGAACCGAGGATGTGTAGTGTTAAAGGAAATCAGGAAATCTCAGGGAAGAAACATTCTCTCTCATATGCAGAATCCAGCCAATAATAAACGTGTACATGTATGTAAATGCATGTACATGCGAGTATGACGTAACATGAAGAAGAGAGAACAGGAAAGACTGAGTGTGGGTGATGGCATGAGTCACGGAAAAGCTTGTACAGCCAACTGTTCTCCTAGTTCTGATTCTACCATGGGTTTTTTGTTTTGGGTGGTGGATAAGTCCATAAAATATATTCAATATAGAAAGTGTAAAATTTAATGCGAAGCTGCACAGCTTCCATTCCGAATGCCGACTCTAATTGTATAGAAATTTAGTGAGTTGTATAGAATTTAGGTCTGGTTAATTATGGTGTTTGATATAGGAGGTCCCTAGGACAAATGTGGCTTATAATAAATTTCGGTTTTACTCAATTACTGAAAAAAAAAATAGCCAAACGAATGGAAACACAT